CCCCCAGCTGTAATATGCAGAGACACTGGCAACAAAGTCTTGACCAGTACAGCTCCATTGTAGAGGTGGGTGGCAAGAGTGCAGCATGCCAGCCCTGTTTAAGTATTGTGAGAGGTGTTACAGTAAACAGACATGAGAAGCCACAGCTCTGTTATGGATATGTATAATTTTGTTTTTTTGTCTTCTAGGTCGCGGCTTAAGGAAGAGTGGCACCAGGAAGAAGTAGCTCCTCTGCTTATAGTGTGTATTTAAAAAAAACAAAACATGTATATGTATATTTATTTCTTTGTGTGTGAGTGTTGCATGAAAAAGTGTTTCTCCTGAGAGGGAGTCCTACCTACCCACGAATTATTGTATAACTTTGTACCTTGTTATGCACTGGAGAGGGAAACTGATGGCAAATAATCTGACGAAACAGGCACAATTGAGTTTTGATGAATTATAAAGAATTGAAATATTGAAAACCAGAAAGAAAATACTAATCACAGAAGTAAAAAAATGCACTTTAAAATGTAAATAGCACTGAAGTCACAAATTTAATAGCATAAAATAAAGGTTAATAATAGACTTGCGAATGTTGTGGTTTCATTATTGATTGTAACTGATGTCAGACCAGAACCATTAACAAGGAAAGTGCGTGTGTGGGGGTTTTTATTTTCTTCTGTAGACCCTATTGGAAGTATTTGCAGAGAGGGACACATCTCTTCAATTGTGGCAATTTGTAGGGTTAAACAACTATTGTCAAACAAAGCATGGGTAGCCAGGCACTGCTATGGGGAGACCTGTACAAATGCCAAAATTAAAGAGGATATGTTTGTGCAGATTTGAAGACTATAATGAAAATACACATCTTTTTTAAAACTACAGCTTTGAGGCTCTAAAGCTGTACTTTCGTACAGGATATCATGATTTTCATGGTGCTGTGATTTTTGTACAATAACTTTGCTTATGTTCCTTAAAATTAATCAGTTTGGGTACTATAGTGTTAAAAAAAAATCCGTTTTCATGGCAACAACCCATGCATTTTAATCACATGGTGGTACTAAGCCGACTTTGACTGGTAGCAGCCACAACAGATCTGAAAGTCATATAAAGTGTCAATTACAGCAAAAGCTGGCATAGTTTGGTAAAAATTTGCCAGTGTCAAGAGTTTGGCATAATTTGTGGGCAGAGGGGTGACATGACAACTAACCATTACAAATGTTTCTGCTAATAGAGGTCAGGGGGTCTACCCCAGCACTATGTAAATGTGGCTGAAACTTTCTGAACGCAGACAGGATGCAGCTGAGATTTTTCATCCTTGTGCATGCACTATAGTACAGAATCTCTTCCTGCACAAGGCTCAAACATGGCCCATGTGTTTCTCTCAACAGCTGTAGGTCAGACTGTTATGATGGCCTGTGCATTCCGATTGATAAATTATGACCTGTGCGTGAAATAAGAATGGTTTTGTGTTTTTTGGTATAGAACCTAAGCCTGTGATAATTATCACATGGTTTTGGTGACATCTAGTGGAGTATCTGCAACACTTTTTTTTTTTCTTCCTCTCAGGAGCTGTCGGAATACAAAAAAAGCATAGTGATGCAAGTCAACTTATTTCTTGCTCAAACATCTAAAGGAACCCCATTCTAAGAAAACAACATGGAGGCTTCCATTGCTGAAAATGCTAGTTTTCTTGCTTCAATATTAAATGTGCAGATAAGGAATTTGCTTGCTTGGGGGGGTTGCAATGCTCAGGATAAAAGCCAGGCAAGGGCTTTTTTTGGGAGGTCAGTAATACCAACCCTTTAACTCTCAACAGGATAGCTTTAAAGCTCAACTCCAGCTAAAACCTTGTATTTAGACAGGGAAGGGTTAGAGCCTCTGCACCATCCTATTAGGGAGGATTCAGGGTGGAAAGGTATAGGAAATCTTTCCATTGAGGACTGAGGAAGGGTTGCACCTTCTGACAATGGTTTTATTGTTTTTGCCTTTCTGGCCTGGTGAGACCCTCATCTTCTCATTCCTGTACAAGTATAGCACAGGGGCAGGAATCTACTCAATGGGAACATAGAAAAACAAAAGAGGGTTCTGAGGAAGGGGGGCGTGCCCCAGAAACACGTTTAACCCTTGCCACTGGCAGACGCCTTTGGTCGTGCGCTGACTTGGCTGTGCTGTGGCTTCTGATGGGCGATAGCCTCCTGTGAGGGGAACCATTGAATACGCTTGTATCACTTTTTCTCTTGTGAGTACATTACCATTTTTTAAAAAGCAAATTTATTAAACGATCCTTCACATGGAGTAGGCGCTCTCCTTTTTTGTCAAAAAAAAAAAAAACCTAACAATCTGACATTGGTAAGTGTTAAACTCTTCCCCACTTTATCTAAAAATAAAACCTGGGTTAGTATTTAACTTTCTATTCACTTTGCACATTTATTATAGTTCATCTTCCTATAGTATCTCTGTACTAAAAGTAAAACAGCACAAATTGTCCAACCATCCCCATCTTTTAGATTGTGGGCCCTCCCTTACCTTCTTGTGATTGTAATGTCTTCCTTATATTGTAAAGCGCTGCACAAACTATTGGTGCTATAAAAAATCCTGTATAATAAATCAACTTCATGTAAGACCTTTACTTATAAAGCCGAACACCGGGCTAGAGAAATATTGTCAAGAAGCATGTGTATTCTTACTTGAATCTTGGTGTGCTTTATGTATTTCTTCTAGTTTCTGCAGGCAGCTGGTGGTGGGAAAGGATGTCGTCACTTCTATTTTGACAAGGTAATAAGGTTTACAAAAAGGTATTTGGTGCACACACATTTGATTTATATTACTTGGGACTATTGAATACATTTCAATTAAAAAGAGTAACTCCACTTTTCTTGAAGGAAAAAAAGTAAATAAATCCACTCTGGGTGATCTGTGTACATTACACAGATTATAACAAACTTTGCTGCCATTTCCTGTTTCTCTTCTGAAGAAAAAGCAGTTTGTTGCACCATGTCCTTTCTAAGCTGCTTCCTGAATGGGAGGGTCTGGGTTCCTTATCAGTTGGTGGGCTTTCTGTGTTGCAGTAGGGAAAGGTGCAGTGCGTTAATCCCTTTTAGTAGTAATTAATAGGGATGCACCGATACCAGTATCTGTGCCGTTACTGAGTATTTGGGCGAGTACTCACCCAAATGCTCCGATGCCTAGCCCGATACCCAAACTTCTGGTCTCAGTAAGCCGGGCAGCAAGTCATTACATCACTTGGTGACGAGGGAGCATAGGCCAATCAGGAAGCCGGGCAGCGTGCAATGAGTCACTGCCTGACTTCCTGATTGGTCAGGAAGATGGCCAATGAGGAAGCCAGACAGCGAGTTATTACCCACCTTTCTGCTTTCTTGTCACCTGGTGACGAGAGCATGAAGCCGGCTTCCCGGCCAATCAGGAAGCCAGGCACCGTGTAATGACTCACCACCTGGCTTCCCGATTAGCAGGGAAGCAGTCTCCATGCTTCCTCGTCACCTGAGCATGAAACCGGCTTTCTGGCCAATCAGGAAGCCAGGTGGCGAGTCATTACACTCCGCCTCGCTTCCTTAATGGTAAACAGTAGAAAGGCACCATGTAAAAAAACTTGTCTCACCATTAAGGGTAATAACAGAGGTTTGGATACACGTCTTCTGCAGAAAATGTGAAAGCTGCGCCAAGGCACCTCTTATAGTGCGGTCCTAACTCTAAACTATGAGAGTCTCCATCTTGGAGCACAGGAACACACAAGGGATCCCACACATCCCAATGGCAGCTGAGAACCCCCATGTGTCACTGCACCAAATCGGTCAAGCAAAACAAATGACAAACGCACTCAACAATTTGTCACCAACTATACAGTAAGGTGCACATGAAATGGGCTTAAAACAGTAAACAGTAGAAAGGCATCATGGCACACTCACAAACCAGCATGTAAAACAACTTGTCTCACCACTAAGGTTAATAACAGAGGTTTGGATACACGTCTTCTGCAGAAAATGTTATTAACCTTACTGTGCATGACTTCAAGAATGATTTGAGGATCTACAGCTGAGTGATACATTTTTGTTAATAATTAGGGTACTTGAATGTATTTTTAAGATGTAACTCCTGTGTTAAGTGTCACTTTAACTTGCTCTGTCACTCAAAAGCACTGACCTAAGCCACTTCAACAAGCCATCACCCCACATCTACATTTACGTCTACTCTGTATCTGGTTGCTATTGCGATTTCTCTATACACATGACCCAGGCAAGCTGAATGACCATCATAACGGCCAAGATTAGATCAGGCTAAATGATAAGGAATTGACATGCTAGACCTAAGTTTCACTCTTAATGGAGTGCTTTAAGGATGTTTTACATGGTAAACACCATAAGAGTATCAAAACTGATATCAGTGTGGCCATAAACATCTTAAACACTCACCATTTTGTTTTTTTGATGATATGAATGGAGTACTTCCAAATCAAAAAGGGAACTTGTCAGAATAGAATTATGAATGCTGCCCTGACTTTTTTTTCTCTTTTAAAAGCTGAACTTCAGTAACATTAAAAAAAAAAAAAAACCACACATACACACACAATTGACCACAGTTCTGTTATTAACCTTAGTGGTGAGACAAGTTTTTTTTACATGCTGACTTGTGAGTGTGCCATGATACCTTTCTACTGTTTACTGTTTTAAGCCCATTTCGTGTGCACCTTACTGTATAGTTGGTGACAAATTGTTGAGTGCGTTTGTCATTTGTTTTGCTTGACCGATTTGGTGCAGCGACACATGGGGGTTCTCAGCTGCCATTGGGATGCCAGCGGGATCCCTTGTGTGTTTCTGTGCCTTTAAGGAGGTTGGGCTTCCTCCTGACAAACCTGCACCCAATTTGAAATCTTCTGCCCCCATGTGCTCCAAGATGGAGACTCATAGTTTAGAGTTAGGACCGCACTATAAGAGGTGCCTTGGCGCGGCTTTCACATTTTCTGCAGAAGACGTGTAGCCAAACCTCTGTTATTAACCTTAGTGGTGAGACAAGTTTTTTTACATGCTGGTTTGTGAGTGTGCCATGATGCCTTTATATTGTTTACTGTTTTAAGCCCATTTCGTGTGCACCTTACTGTATAGTTGGTGACAAATTGTTGAGTGCGTTTGTCATTTGTTTTGCTTGGCTTCCTTAATGGGACTTCCGGTATCGGCAAGTACTGGAAGAAAAAAAAAATATCAGTACTCTAACTCAATACCAAAAAAAAACGGTATTGGTGCATCCCTAGTGGTTAACCCTTAGGGAGTATCTCACCAAAAATTCAATTCCTATTGCAAGGGATGCCAAAAAATTGTATTCATCGGTCAGCCAATAACAGAAGCAGGAAGTGACATTTCTGGGGGTGTTCTGTACACCTCCCAGGTTGCCATAATGCATTGATTGTTTTGGACAGATTTAGAACATTACAGCAGCTACAGTAGTAAATGGGAAGGTCATTATTAAATTACATTAACAAAATGGCTTGTCCAACAATTATATATGCTACATTCGTTTTGTAAAGTGGAGTTACTCTTTAAAGCTTATGTGTCCGGAGTTGAGCTTTACAGGGCAACTCCACTAATAAAATGGATTGGTGAAAGTTAGAGGGTATGGTACATTAAAGTGACACTTAACTCAGGAGTTAAATCTTACAAATACATTTTTATGAATAGGGTACTTGAATGCATCTAATTTGTGTATCACTCAACTGTAGATCCTCAAATCATCTCTGAATTCATGCTGACGCTGTCCTTCCTTCTGGAGGGTGGCCACTTTTGTTCCCCATGGTCTGTGTTGTAAAGTAGTGACCACTCCAAGATCACTTCCGTGATGGAGTACAATCTCAGGTTTTAGTTTACTAATTTGTATTGAGATTGTAGTCCATTACAGGAGTGAGATTGGAGCGGTGGCTTACTCTACAACACGCACAGGGACTATGGGGAACAAAAGTAGCCCCCCTCCAGAAGGAAGGATAGTGTTAGCATGACTTCAAGAATGATTTGAGGATCTACAGCTGAGTGATACATTTTTGTTAATAATTAGGGTACTTGAATGTATTTTTAAGATGTAACTCCTGTGTTAAGTGTCACTTTAACTTGCTCTGTCACTCAAAAGCACTGACCTAAGCCACTTCAACAAGCCATCACCCCACATCTACATTTACCTCTACTCTGTATCTTGTTGCTATTGCGATTTCTCTATACACATGACCCAGGCAAGCTGAATGACCATAATAACGGCCAAGATTAGATCAGGCTAAATGATAAGGAATTGACATGCTAGACCTAAGTTTCACTCTTAATGGAGTGCTTTAAGGATGTTTTACATGGTAAACACCATAAGAGTATCAAAACTGATATCAGTGTGGCCATAAACATCTTAAACACTCACCATTTTGTTTTTTTGATGATATGAATGGAGTACTTCCAAATCAAAAAGGGAACTTGTCAGAATAGAATTATGAATGCTGCCCTGAAATTTTTTTTCATCTTTTAAAAGCTGAACTTCAGTAACATTAAAAAAAAAAATCACCACACAATTGACCACAGTTCTGTATTCCTCAATACATCTTAAGTTTTTTTTTTTATATATATACATATACACCAGCAGTGTAAAGTACATGAATTTCAGTTTCAGCCTCTTGCAATCCCTGGGACAGCAGACTCTGACTGGGAGAGAGAAAAGGAGACACAAAGAGCCAATGCAGTGCTGAAAAGGTCAACAAGGAACATGCTGATAGCAGAAGGCAGCAGCGCATCTGTCTGCTGCATCTTCTTCACTATCCAATCACATTGTTACTTAGAAAAGCTGATTCGAAGACTTAGATGTGTAAATCTAAGAACTGGATGGACAAATCTGTCAGATAAACAGCCCCTATATGTATTTCATCTGCGTATTAAGCCGTTTGCCTGAAGTTCAGCTTTGAGACATCCAGAACCATCATTCTTAAACGTGTTACCCTAATAGGATACATATACAGATCAGGATTTGTGATTGCAAAGGCTGCCTACCTCTTCCAGCAACTTACTAGACATTAAAGCCTGGCCGAGCAGCCTGCACCTTTCTAATAGCAGCATTTTTAATTTTAACTTCCCTTTAATCATGTCCACTTGCAAGACAGGCTAGATTACGGACTGTACAAGCATTAAGTCTTGTTCTGCTACCTGCACAGGTATGCCATCCACATACTGAAACAAAACCATCCTTTCTTTGGATTTACTCCGCATCATTCTTGAAGACTGAGTTAGTCTGAATCGGAGCTTCTATAAGAAGATTTGCGCTTTTTCTTCTTCTTTCTCTTCTTTTTGTCTTTCTTTTTTTTCTTACGTTTTTCTTGTGAACTGTCACTGCTGTCGCTGCTTTCTTCAGATGTTGAATCCTCAAGCAGTTTTTTCAACTGCTCAATCCTTAAAAAAAAAAAAATAAATGACAAAATACACACAGTCAGTATATTGTCTAACTCAGTGGTCCCCAACCCCCAGGCCGCGGACCGGTACTGGTCCGTGGATCAAATGGTACCGGGCCGCCCAAGGAACATTAAATTATTTCCATTTTATTTACTGTGGTGTATTTCTCTAGGGTTTGTCCGACTTTCCAGGACGAGAGGTTAACTGGGAGCTGAGAGACGTCACCTAAAGCCGCACCAATACCGCGCATGCGCAAAATATCGTGATATCGGGGCGGTTTTAGGTGACGTCTGGAGCTGAGCGGCTGCAAGCGGCAGTGGCGTTGTAGCTTTGGTAAAGAGAAGGTGTGTATCGCTCTTCTCTCTGTTCACCGGTACTTTCTCATGTTTAACAGTGCTTGGTGTACGTATATATTGTGTTTGCTCAAATTTAACCCACAAATTAGCAGAAATGAGTACTAAACAGACGTCGTTAGAAAGTTTCCTTGGGAAAAAGAAAAGGCCCAGTGAAGAGACAGAAGAAGGGCCTTCAACATCAAAGAAACATGTAACTTTTAACAGACAATACCATGATTCCTACTTGAAATATGGATTTAGCGGCACAGGTGATTCCAATCTAAAATATAAACAATCAACGTCCCCCCCTCAGTGGGCCGCGGTAAAATGATCAAACGTTGACCGGTCCGCGGCGATAAAAAGGTTGGGGAGCACTGGTCTAACTGATCAGAGTAAAATAGCTACAGAAGCCTTTGGCACCTTCACTTGGCACACTCCTCTGCTAACGCAGGTTTGGGGTATTCTTTTTTTACGTCACTGAATGCTGCTCTAGATTACGGATCTAAACACCACAATGTACATAGACACATAAGCTGGCCATACACTGCTCTAAATGTTCTTGTTCAACCCGCAGGCTGAGCAAAAAAAAAAAAATAGAGCAGATTCCTCCATCATTGCTATAAGTGCGTTGATCGAGGAATCCCTGGTGTTCCTTTTTGTATTCTGACAGTGGCCATCGGCCTGCCAGAATACCCAAACAGGGCCAGCAGCTCATTGGCAGTTGGCTCTGGTCATATGAAGATTTTCCAACCGGCTCCTTCGATCAGCAAGCCGAAATTCGCATAGTGTATGGCCACCCATAGGCTGTTATAGGGCTGCATTCACCAGGGTGTTCTGGCAATCCCAGGTGTGCTGGTTCAGATGTGGCCACTGTACCCTTTCACGAAAATGACAGTGGCTGCATCTGTTAGCAGCAGTCCGCATGTAATTGTACATGATATGATTACATGCAGTTTTGGATTGATGATTGTCCCTGGACACATCTATCCTGTGTCCAGCAACAATCATCTTTCCCAAACCACATGTAATCTTACCATGTAGAATTACATGCAGACTGCCACTGCCACAGGTTCTTGCCACAGAAATGCCAGAATATCCAGCCTAGCCTAAGAGGCATTCAAAATAAAAAGCAGCAGTATGGATCTAAACATGTGAATGCTGCTGCATGAATTACGCTAGTGTTAGAGATTAGGTAAAGTTAGTATAAATGTTAAGTGAATGGTTAGTGTTTAGTGAGCAATAAGGGTTCAGATAGAAGCCATGTTAGGCTCTACTTTATTTACAGAAATACTTTTGTTACGTGCAGACTGTGGTGTGTGGTGCCATACATTTAGAATGGCATTTACAACAGCACACCCAATGAAAAACCAGAGATGGTGCAAGTGCATCCACACTGCAGGGCACATGCTGTGCATTGTGAAGAACTGCATTAATCAAAGTTGTAAGGATAATGTATTGTCTGTTGTGGTGTGTTGGTAGCCTATTCTATATAAATGGCCTGTCTTAACACAACACACATTAGCCTATGCGGTAGGGCTGAGGGTGTGCTGAAGGAATACGAGAATGTGTCCATTATGTTGGTACTAGTGCAATTTCAGACTCCCACTTGAAGTATGCATAGCTAAAAACTTTTGTTTTCCTCCTTTTGGACATAGTAGATAAGTGCTTGAATCATTCATTCAGTTTACATTTGCGTGGTCTGCATCCCATTAGGGTGAACATTTCTCTTCATTTCCTGTCCCAGAAAAGCACAAGGACGCGAGAAGAAATCTCTGAAAAACAGGGGAATCTCTTCTTCGACAGCTGTCCCCATTGGCAGAGTTTCTCTCACTACTTGTTGTTAGGACAACTTAAACATTTTGCATTTCCCCTTATATTCTGTTTCAGTGACAGTGGTCACCAAAGTAAACAAAGACAAAAATACAAAAACGTGACAGTGGTTCAAAGCCCTCATTACTCTATCCAAGTGTTTGCTATACATAAATTTAAGTTGTTAGTCGCATATTCATATCACATATATATTTTCAGACCACATAACATATCAGACTATACAGCTGTGCAGAAGTTTTAAAAGAAAACAAGCGGCAGCTTCCCCTCTGTACATTTAGCTATGCTTGCCCAAAGTAGGGCTAAATGTAGATAACTACCCGCCCGGCGCCCAGAAATGCATGTCCCGGCCATCGGAAGATAGGCATTCCACACCTCTGCTGCCCCTTTACTCCCTGCTGCCCCAAGGCCGGGCCTTGGTTGGCCTTGTGGGAAATCCAGCCCTGCCAGTATTCTATTATATTAATGACTGGCATGCTATCTTTACCTCATTTGTTTTTCTTGGGTTTCCTTTTCCTTTATTAAGCCATACATTGGGTCTTCATGAGCCTGCAGAAGATAAGTATACCGACTTAGCATTCCAGTTAAAAACAAACAAAAACAAATGACACTATATACATGCATGTTAATAAAAGGAGGTGCTCTTAAAAAGCAAATGAAACGTGATTGAAATGACATTAATATTGGTTAATAAAAACATTTTAACCATACAATGCATGGCCCCCCAAAAAAGTCACGTTGAAGCACACAGGCCTTGTCCTGTCCTTCCCCGCTGCCCCCCCTTCCTCATTCTCACATTTGCTGGCAATTCAGCAGCTCCCCCTCCACATTACGTGGTGTGCAAACGCGCGTTCAGACTTTTTTCTTTTTGCCGAGTTTGCCACACATAAGAGATGGCACCACAAGCATGACGCACATTTTGAACACGTTGCATGCGCATTACACACAACTCGAAGGTGTGAATGGGAATTCACAGACACTGCCGTCAAAGAATAGACCTTCTGGCACAATGTTTGTAAACAATGTTTAGACTCGGGAATTAGAGATAAAAAGGTAAGATTACCGTTAATTTTGTATTCACTCTTTTCCATTCATCTGCAGATCAAAAGGCCGACCTTTGATCTACAGTAAAGTAACCTGACGTTTTTTTTTAAAAGTTGTTTTTTCTTATTTTAAATAGAATTTATTATATTATTTATTAATCCTTTAAGTTTATTCTTTATCAGCCCTAATTATCTTAGTCTTCCCCCAAGATATTTGTCTTCTTTTATTATATTATTCCAACTATTCATTTTTAAACAATCTTTTGGTTTAAAATATGCTTTTTTTTAGTTTTATTGTGAATTTTGTCTATGGATTACATAAAAAATAAAATAATTACTAAACAACAGCCTTGATTGTCCTAAAAATTATATACGTATTACTTAGCTGTCCTAAGTAATGGCAAAGGATTTCCAGAACAAACAGGCCCATAGCGGAAATATCAAAATTGCTCTGGTCCGTAGGGATTATAAAGGTTTGAATGCTGAAGTGGCTAAATGGGGGTGAGAACCAGCCTTGATAGCACAGATTTCTCATGTAATTTACATCCAATGTCACATGGATCCAACTACTGAATTTAAATAAAACTAAATGCTGAATTTAACTGCACCAAAACATGTGTAAAGGATCTAATGTAAACAAGGCACTGAAAGTTCTTCGAACACCTAAATACTGAGAGGGGAGTTTATCAAAACTGGAGCAGACAAAATCTGGAGCAGTTGCCCATAGTAACCAATCAGCTTCTAGCTTTACTGAGAAAACTGAAGAGAGAAACCAATTGGCTACTATGGGCAGCTGCCCCAGTTTTGATAAATTCTCCCCTGAATGTTTACAAAATGTTACCAAAAATGTGCCTCGGCTTCCTATTCTTACCTCGATTACTTCTCCCATGTCCCCAATCTGCCTATTTCTCAAAACCTTAAGAGATATCTGCTGCTAAAAGAACATTAACTGCTACTTCAGCTGCATAGAAGTAGGGCTGCAACAACTAATCAACATAATCGATTATAATTGATTATTGAAAAAGTTGTCAACTTTTTCAATAATCGATTAATCGGCTAGCATGTCAATGCCTAGCTCGTCATCTCTGCCTTTATATTCTTTTCCCATCATTTCCCCATATAATGTAAACTCCTTAGGCACCATATAAATAAAACTTGAAGAAAAGGCCGTGTTTAAATAACTTGGTGAGAACAACTCAAGTCTTACAACTCTGAACTGCTCAATCTTCTGATTGCCTTTTATGAAGTAGGGACACTCTCGATCACCAGTTCGGTGCCCATACTGCTTACATCTCCAACCTACAAGGAAGGGAAGACTACATTAAAACCCGTGCACACAAAACTGCTATAAAAAAAAAGGTAGAGCTATGCAGACTTGGAATTAACTTGCGGATTATGATGTTACAAACCGGTTCCACACCGCCATAAAAGATCACTGCTGACAAAAGATTTAGAGAGGTCCGGTCGCCAGCTTAAAACATTTTTAGGTAAAAAGCACAGAACATTTTAATTGCTAATTTGCAGGGTTTTTTTTCTTGACAAAAAACATTTTTATTCACTTGCAACATACCCTTGGCCTTGCTGGAACATTGGACTTCTCAAGAAGAGTCAATCCTCCCCTCTCTCCTTGCATGCGCATAGTCCTCTCCTTTTCTGGGAGCAGGTAATTACTCTCTCTCTCTCTCTCTCTCTGCTGGCCAAGCCACTTTCACTTTACTCCATTTATAACCCTTTTATATAGCTGCTGGGGAGGAGCAAAGGGTAAAACTACAGAATGGCAGGTGGCTGACATCGGAACCCTGATAGCGGCAGCCAGCAGCAGTCTTATGTCTTTGTTTGTCTACAAAATGCACATATATTCTTATAGAAAGATTTATGTTGAAAAGAATGGTCTGGCGACAGGGTCTCTAAGTGCGTGCCACATGGAAGCACTTTCTACACTACAAGACTGTGCTGCCATTTTCTTTCTTATTGGGGAGGGGGTCATGTTTAATAAATAAGTAATAGATAAGTAACAGCAAAACAAAAAAACGTGTTCAAATTACCAAAATGTCAAATTACCAACTGTCGGCTGACAGTCCAGTCTTTAAACACTTTAACAACAGCTGCTCTTGAACATTTAACGAATTCTGCCGTTTTGCTGATACTCGCTCCATGGCTCTGAGAGCCAACAATCATCCCACGTTCAAAGGCTGTTAAATCGCGTTGTTTACCCATATCTTCAGACAAAAATCACCTCTACTGTCGTGGTAAACAACCTGCTTCCCTATTTATAATGGTCTGGCCCTCTAGCAACTTTAGCGCGAAATTATAGCCAATTTGCCTACAAACGTAAGGTGGTCATAATCTGGCCACTCAGTGTACACACAAGTGCAGTGACGTCACCACACTTGTAGTCCATTTATATTTCTTCACTACCCTGTAACTAAAATTGGCCATACACCTATAGATTATCTGCAGATTTTCTATAGTCAGATGCCAAAAAGTTGCACCCATGGAGGAATCTCCCACTGGACCAAGCTTCAGTATCTTTGCTAGTCGGCCCCGCTGGCTGCCAAAATACCTGAACAATCTGATTGGATGCAGGCATTGTTCAGGTATATTGAGAGCAAGCAGGGCCGGCTAGCAAGATACTGAAGCTTGGCCCAGTGGGAGATTGCTCCATCCACACAGTTTAGGGTAGATGGGAGGAATCTGTTGCACTTTTTCCCTCTGTCCATAGAAAATCTGCAGGTGTATGACTAGCTTTAAAGTCCATACCTTGGGATGGACAGGTACTGGGAGGAAGAGTCTGCAGGTGCCAGAGCATTGCACCTGTGATCCACTGATCGCGGTTGCAATGCTTTACAGGCTCCATTGCAAAAAAACATAATCAATCCACATTTTTTTCTTTTATGAATACGTGTGCATTTATTAATATATATACAGGGCTCGAAAAATCCACTCGTCCACTCGTCTGTGACGAGAGGACAGTGGAGCCCGACGAGCAGCTTCCTGGCCGGCCGTTGTAATTACACGGCCGGCCGGAATAAAAATGAAAGAATCATAGAAAAATAAAAAAGCAAAATAAAAAATAAAAAACATTTTTAGGTCCCCACCCCCCACATACACACGTAGATATGCGTCAGGTGCGCCTACGTGCGAAAACGCACATGATACATATCGCCGCGAACGTCGGAGTGAGAGCAATAATTCTAGAGCCATTAATCACTGATAACACTAAACTGATGAGCAGTAAAAGCATTTTAATCGTCGCGTATGGGCGTTTTTTTGCGTTTTTGCGGGCGCACGCAATTTTAAGGCTTGACATGTTTGGTGTCTATTTACCCAACGTGACCCAGATTTTTATGTTTTACTAAAAATATGGGTAAGAATAAATGTTTTATAACATAGGGAAACGTTTTTTTTTTTTTTTACATTTATGGTACTTTTTTCATTATATAGTTAAAAAAAATAACCCCCCGTGGGGTCACAAAAGAAAGCTCTATCTGTCCCCAAATTTTTTTTACATATATTGCAAGGCTATAGTCAGGTCATGCTGACTGGTGAAATTTTTGACTGACTGGTGAGACACCGCCAAATTTTTCAAGCCCTGTAATATATATATATAACAAATTAAGATATATGGAAGTATAAAATGATATAAATAATCAACCCATTTACTGTGGCACAAGCCCCACTACCGAACTCATCTGCTGTGTCTCACGTGACCTCCTTTGTTCTTCACTATGAAACATCCAAAAGCCAAGCCACCAACAGCCAGGCCGTTGATCATTGGATTGCAAATCATTGAAAAAGTAGCTCTGCTGCAGCAATAAAGAGAAAAACTGTCCTTGAGCAAATTCTCAGGATCACATGTAGGTGGATAAATATAAAAGTGCAGAGGGAAAACCCTAAAAACAAATAATACCAAGTATTACCCCATAACTTACACTGCATAACTTTCACTTCTTTGCCCAATGGCATCCACAGACCCTTTGTAGGAGCATGTGCCAGGAAATCTCTAGCATGTTCATTGCCTGGTAAGTCTGGTATACAGTCTTCTGGTTTAGGTTCATCCTCCTAGATAAAATGAAAACCAGAAATGTGATCTTGCCATTTATAAGTAAATACGGAAGAAAGGCACCTATTGCAATATATATTTTGGATCACAAGTTGTACCTTTGAAACCTTAGTGACGGTCAGGCTGTAAAAAAAATCCAGCTAAACGTTTCTTGCAATAGAAGAGGTATTGTACTGAACTCTCTGGTGGCCTATGTCTACTACCTTCCTTTAGAATCTTAAGCATTTGACACTTCTGGGAGCGTCAGATGCCCGTGTCCTCCACTGCAAACTACAGGACACAGTGATGTAGAGGCCAGGAGGATGGAACCACAGCACATGGTGGGGGACACAAGCATTCAATACCTCTGGAAATGTTGATCGCTAAAAATTCTGACAGAGCCTGCAGCAAAGGTAGGAGACATGGGACAACTGAAAGGAGAGTAGAATACCTCTTCTATTGCAGAAAGGCTTCAGCTGAATTTGTTTAGAACCTGACACGGTCACTTTAAAATACAAAATCTAGCTCAAACTTTTTTTTTTTTACCTTTTTGGAAGAGAAGCAGTTGGTCTTTATATACTAGTTCCAAAACAGGAAAGGAACCCTTTGGAATTTCCTTGAATCTGTATATACTGCTTGTAAAATATAATTTCATCAGATCATTGTAGTCTCTAGCTGACATTGGCTTATCTAGGTTTTTGTGGTGTGGACTTTCCACATCTGGTCTCTGGAGGTCAACTTTAAGAAAGGCCACTACTGATCTGAGCACTATTCTGTACCCTGAACGGTTCCACATTAGGATATTAATGCCATTTAGGTAATATATACAGTTTAGTGAATGAACTTGGTATGTGGAATAAATAAATACACATGACCAGCTATTAATATCTTGTACAAAACTAGTTTATTTGAATCATTAGGAAATAAATATTTTCTATATATTTAGAAAGCATCACCTACTAGAGTGTGCAGACTGACACAATCCTTAAAAGCTTTAGACACAAGATTTACCTGTAACTGAAACAATTATAATGCAGTTTGATGCCCATCGTGATATTATAGAGACCTTAATAGGTATGAATAAACCGGAAATGTAATCTAATTTTCATAACTATAAGTCTTAATTAACAAACAATATTTTACTCTGTGATATCCCTATTGTACAAAAATCAAGGTCAGTGATGGAAAAGGCAAATAAGCCTCTAACCTATGGGCTTCTAATGATTTCTAATGAGTGGGTGTACCACAGAGATAAGTGTTAAGGGCATGCCGTACAATTCTTGGGTGATAAAGAAGCCCAGTTGTGTTTTAGTTCAGGTCTCTTGCTGCCATGAACCAACAATCTGATGGCACAAAGAAATCCAGGGTTACATTAATTCAGATGAGGTGCAGGAGAACTGTAGATACCACAACTTGCCCAGTAGCTTGACAGTTTCCTTTCCATACTAAAATATCTGACCTGCATGTTTAAATTAATTACTTACCCCCAAAAAAAGATATTCTGGAACAGATTCAGATTATATGAAGAACATCTGTATATAGAATACATGCCTGACTGTACTGTGTGTGGGCTACACGAGTCATCAATACAACAGATTATAACAATACCTTAATTAATCCCGGCGGAGGCTTCTCATAGCTAAAAAAAATAAAAAAAACAATGGAAATTATGTTTTTGAAATATACTAAAGACATGTAACCAAATACACGAATAATGCATAGATATTATCAAATACAAGATTCTTCTAGGTTTTAGAGCAGAGTTTGCTGAACCTGTCCTAAGGTCTAACACTTCACTGCAAATCATCTGCATTGCTGAGATACAAGTGTCTCTACCTGTGAAAATGTGGAGTTATCTGCAACATATGCACTACTGGTAGGACTTGCATTGGAAACAAATGTATCAAAGAAACTGGAGCTACAATATCTGCACCAGAGTTTCTGGGTCACCTGCCACTGCAAGAAGATATCAATTTTGCCTGGAAAATATATCATTTGTTTCCCAATTCAGCAATACAGGAAGACTAAAGACTCCAATGCAGGGAAGCAAAGCCGGATCTTGCAGAGATCACTACAACAGGTTCCATAAGAGCTTTAGGAAGCGAGCAAGCCATCATTCAACTAAATGGGCATAGTATAGATAGCTTTTCCTATTAAAAGTAATAGGGAAATCTGCATTGTACAGAAGAATAAGGATTGACGAACAATTGTTCTACGTTTGGAGTAAATTTAGATAGTAAATAGTAAATATAGTAAATAGATAGTAAATATTTAGGTCTCCCTTTCGTATGCCCAATTTTGTTTTATCTTTGATAACCCAAAAATGTAAACAGTCCGGATTACTCATGTTCAGGCCAGACATGTCATGCTGGTAGTATCTTCTCCCTTTTTAATATCATATCATTTACATGTTCCAAGACATGTCTCCTAAACTGTCAAATTGTTTTAACTGCATATCATTTTGGGCCACTAACACTTTGATTTAAAAAATGTGTGCCCACATCATTCTGCATGCATAAAGTTGAAAACCCTCTTTTAGGCCCCATTCACACCAGATGTGTTGTGTTGTAATCCATTTTATAACAAATGCTAACACAAGGGCACCAAAAAATACATAAAAAAAAAAAAATATATGGGTGAGAATGGGACCAGTTCACACCACTGTGATCCACTGCAGTTCGATGAAAAAAGTAGACCATGCTCTGCTTTTTTTCAGCGCAACCTAATGAAACAAAATCGGATGCAATCGCAATGCAAAATAGATGTTGGCCCACTCAGGACATGTTAAATGAAATAAAGATTAGCAAAAAGGAAAAAAATAAATACGCAAAGCGGCAGTACGATGGGATACCTCTTGTAATCGTGTGCTACAATTACATGTGTCTAAGAATCAATCACTATCCCTAGACGCATTGATTGTGCATCCAGAATAGTGATTGATTCTTAGCCACATGTAATTGTAGCACATACAATGACATGCTGTGTGCCATCGTTCTGCCGCTTTCAAATGCAGCTGCCGTCACCCGATCATTAACTTGAATGGGTAACAGCTGCTGCTTGTAAACAGAAGATTTTGAATTCCTGCTGTCTAAAACAGGATTTCCCTCACTTTGTGATATCCCCTTACATCTTGTTGTGCCTACAGGACATGGGGTTTAAGGAAATGTGCCCAATGGCACTACAATGACAAATTAATTATCTATATA